TGAGTCTACACCCAGTGAGTCCATCCAAGTGGATTAATCCACTATGAGTCTACACCTCTCATAATGTGATCATCTCACCTCTCAGCCTTCTTGCATGGTCTGACACGTGAGCTTTCGGGGGACAACTCTTAAGCTACAGATAAGCTACAGATGTGAATGTTGGGGATCTCCTGTAGCCCACTGCTGGCGTCGGTGTGTCTGGGGGACCTGGAGCTCATGCCTTGAGCTGCCCTTGTGGCCTGCAGTGAGGACGGTGTCTGAAAGGAAGTGTAGACTGGATGAGTCGACGCATTTGGTGGTAATTGGAGTGGATGGGAGGGGATGGGCTCTATGATCGATGTCCCAGGGGTCACCAAAGAGAAGCACCCTTTTCCATTTTCCCCCTTTGGCTTTCGATATGGTCGACTCCTGTGCGAAAATCCAGCCCTGCAGCAGAAGGGAGGGCGGACGGCGTGCAGGGCATTGTCAAGACGGAGAGTCCTGAAGGGCTGGGCATCCTGGCCGGAGTCTGTGGGCCCTGGAAATCCTTGGCTCTTCCTGCTTCTGTGTCCACCCCACATTCCGGCTCAGGGGGGAGGGTGACAGCTGCGTTGGCAGTTGACGGTGGCTGCGGAAGTTCAGGGTTGCTCTAGTTGGGATCTTGGATGTTGTTTTCTGAAACCCCCACGCTCAAGGCCAGGTTCTTTATCTTGGTGGGTCTCCATTTCCTTATCTGTAAAGTAAGTTTGTAGCGTTGTATCTCTTGCTGGGTAAGGTGTTGAGAAATGCCAGGGATTGAACTCAGGGGCACTGGACCCCTGAGCCCCGTCCCCAGCCCTATTTTGCATTTTATTGAGAGACAGGGTCTCCCTGAGTTGCTTACGGCCTCCCTTTGGCGGAGGCTGGCTTTGAACTCGAGATCCTCCTGCCTCAGCCTCCAGAGTCGCTGGGACGGCAGGCCTGTGCCGCTGTGCCCGGCTCACCCAACCCTTGTTTTGTGCAAGAAGAGAAAGTCCGACCAATGCAGCGTCCTACCTGAACCAAGAGTGGACAGACTGTGTTGGCTCTGTCGTTTGCCCGTTCAAAACATTCCCTTCCAACCCGATGGCCGGACAGGATGCAGACGTGAGGAGTGGTCCGCTCAGTCGGTGGATGGGGAGGCTGTGACGGAGGCGAGCAGGGTCGAGACGGGACTCCCCTTCTTCTTCCCGCCTCCTTAGCCCCTGAAACCCACCCTGCAAGACTTTCATTCCCGTGCCCCAGATTTGAGGTCCCGGTGGACACTTGCCGGACTGAGCCGCAGACTGCATTGGGCGCAAAAAAAAAGAAAATGCATTCGATGGAATAAAGCGAGGCCAGGCGGACTCTTGGCTTCCCCGTGAGGGAGGGAGCGCGCCCCCGACCGCGTCTGTCTCGGTGTTTGGCTGCTTCACTTCCCGTCTCGCCTTCTGGTTCCTCCCATTTTGGTGCAGAGGGCAGGGCTGGTTCTTTCCCCTGCTGTAGAGTAGGATACGGAACGGTCGGTCGGCGCCTTCTCCGCGTGCGTTCTTGATGCACACCTGGCCGACTCCACCTTGGCTTCCTGCGAATAACGTTGCAATGGACGTTTTGGAGGAGCGTCCTGTGTCTTCTGCACCGTGGCTCTGCCAAGTCCGCGGTCCCTACCACGGCGTCTGGCAGGTCCTTGGGTCCCCCGTCGTCCCCGGAATCGGCTGCTGTCGGTAAGCACCGTTCCCACCGAGGTGCCACGGCATCTCGGGGGGGTGCTTTCTCTCTGCCTCCCGCTAACGGGGCGCTTTTATGAATCAGTTTGGAAGCTTCGGAACTTGGTGTTTATCCTGTCGACAAACGACACCCAACTTGCACATGGCCTCTCTGTCCTCTGTCGGCCCCTTGAGCCTCCGGTGAAGGGACAAGATCCGGGAGCTGTGGTTCTGCAGACCCTTGGCCATTCGTTTCGGGGGGAAATTCCGCAGCGAGTTCCCCTCCATGAATCGCGCACGTTGCTGCTTCTCACCGGTCACCATCCGTCTCTGGGCGGCCACAGCTGTCCCCTGGCGGGTGGGATGTCGGTGACGCTTCTGACTGCTTTGCGACCCAGAGCAGCACCTGCTCTTAGCCGCGGCATGTCCCATCTCCGGGGTGCAGCTGGGGACCTGGGTGTCCATCAGGAGCGAGAAGGCAAGGGCCTCGGGCGATGGCATCTCGCTCCCCCAGGCCACCTGGCATCCCACCTGCACCTTGAGTCCCCTTCCCTCTCCTGCGGGGAGGAGCCTCCTGCTACCTCGGAGCGAGCGCTGGCCGCACGCGGGCTTTGCGAGAGCGCCCAAGCCGCCAGAGGGCCCCCCAGCAGCCAGGCTTCCCCTGCACCCGGTGTCCGCTCACGACGGAGACAAGGCCACCTTCAGCGGAGCCCCAGAGTGCCCTGCAAGTGGCGCATTTCCTGTCTTTCTTTCACGTCTTTGGGGAAGATCACGGGCCGAGAGGAAATGGGGACAGTTTCTCAGCAGATTGATCCCGATGGCCCACCCTCCGCGGTCCCCCGGTCACCCACCCCCCGCGATGGCCTCAGCAGCCGCGTGTGCATGCGTCGCGGGCCCCGGGTGGAGACGGAAATGATAGGGCACAGTCGTGGCCCTGGGCAGACAAGAAGGATGGGGACACGTTAGCTGTGTCATCGTGGTCACTGGGGAAGAGAGTGGAACTGGGAGGAAATGTCCGGCCAGGGGCACGAACATGCAGAAGGACCGAGGGGGACGGGTTGGAAGGAGACCGCACGCGTGTCCCTGCACACATACACACGTGCACGGAGCTGGGGGTCTGCAGCCCACGGAGGTGACCAGACACACAAGGCGGCTGGCTTCGGCAAAGAAAAGCAGTCACGAGTCCAGCTCCGAATTTCAGCGCTGCCCCTGCAACCCTGTGTCACCCCAGCCCTGCTGCACACACAGGTCCAGTGGCTTCTGCACACACACACACACACACACCTTGAGCCGGTGAATAAGGAAGGCTAGGAGCCCCAGGTGCATTTGAATTAAAACCGTCCCTGAGCCGTTTTAGGTTTGCCTAAAAAATCGAAAAGAAAGTAGAGCCAGGCAGAGGGGCGCACGCCTGTCGTCCCAGCAGCTCGGGAGGCTGAGGCAGGAGGATCGCGAGGTCAAAGCCAGCCTCCGCCAAAGCGAGGCCCTCAGCAGCTCTGGGAGACCCTGTCTCTCAATAAAATGCAAAACAGGGCTGGGGACGGGGCTCAGGGGTCGGGTGTCCCCGAGTTCGATCCTAAGGAACCCAAATAAATAAATAAATAGGAAGGACAGAATTTTCATCTATATCCTGTGGCCTCTATGGGACAAGGTGCACCTTGACCTAGGTACCAGGTCACCTTTGTGGCACGAGGTAGTGCTTGTTACCAGGGACCAGCCAGGACGGACACATTGTTACTCACCGAGGGCTTGATTGACACCTGGGGTCTCTCACTGCAGGCACCACTGCACCACCCTGCCAGACGCTGCTGCTCAAAGCCCCGAACATCTTCCAGGCTCCACCTGCTCACCCACCCCTCCCCTTTCACACCCCTCACAGCCACGGAACCTTTTATAATCTCCACTGTTTGCCTTTCTCCGCCATAACGCCGCACGGTGTGTCGACTTCTTTCCCTTAAGACACGCATTCACGGTTCCTCCCTGTGTCGGCCCGGTGGGATCCCTCGATTCTTTTAATGCTGGCATCCACTGGGTTCTCTGCAGTCTAGGTTTCCACTCACCCAACGCTTTGGCTACTGCAGGGAAACCTGCCCTGAATGTGTGGGTGTGTGCGTTTGCGGGTTTTTTTGTTTGTTTTGTTTTGTTTGTGGACACAAGTTGTTGCAGAAGCCACGTGTGTTACAAAGCATCTTTTTTTTTTTTTTACTGCAATTTCTTGGTGTGAAGTTTCTTCTAAATATATGAAAGGGGAATGGGGTTTGAAATGAAGGAATCGTGCTCCATTATTATTTGCAGTAGAAGAACGCAACATCCTGGGTCCTCTGCGTCTATGACTGTACCTGGAAGTCGTGTGCCCAAGAAAGGGGGATTTGTCTCTCACCGCAGGGGTGGGGGGGGTAGCATCTGGATGCTTCTACTTCCGCTGGCTCGTTAAGCTAATTACCATTTTCAAAGAAGGCTCAGGTTTGTGTTGCCGCCAAATCACCCCAGAGCCGAACGAGCTCCGGCGCACAGGTGGCTTGCTCAGTTGTGCCGGGTCGGACCGTAATAAATGTCATCGTGCTGACGATGACGGATCCCGGGAGACAGATCGCCAGCTGTCTCACTCCTGGTGTCAGAGTGACATTTATGTGTACGGTGCAGGATCCAGAAACGTTTATCATTTGAGTTAAAAATCGAGAAAGATGGAACCTGCTCTGGCCTCTGGCATTTGCAATCAAACAGCAGAAAGACATCTTTATTCTTTTAGTCTCTTTTTTGGTACCAGGCATTGAACCCAGGGGTGCTTAACCGCTGAGCCACATCCCCGATCCTTTTTTACATTTTGTTTAGGGTCTTGGTAAGTTGCTCAGGGATTCGATAATTGGCTGAGGCTGGCCTTCAACTTGCCATCCTCCTGACTCAGCCTCCCAAGCCACTGGGATGACAGATGGGCACCCGCGTGCCCGGGCTCTGAGGTCTGTTCAATGTCTCTTTGGCTCCGCATTGATTCTTGCTCAGTACAGACTCTTTGCCTGCAGAGGGGACTCACGGACGGTCGAAAGGATCGCTTTTCGTCCTTACCGTCAGTGTGATTGTCCACAAAGTCACCTTTGCGGGTGGTTTGCAGCGTGAGGTTTGGAGACGAGAAGGTACAATCCCCAGTACTTTGCAAAGAAAGCGAAGATAGAGACACAAGGATGATGTTCATACCAGATGCAGGGGTGCACCCCTGCGGTCCCAGATACTCGGGAGGCTGAGGCAGGAGGATGGCAAGTCTGAGGCCAGCCTCGGCAACTCCTTTCCGGCACGTTCTCCCAAACCTGTGCTGATCCGCGAGGCTGGTTACTTGTAGAAGCGACGATGCTTCTTCGAAGTGAGCTCCCCTCGATGTGACTGGATCTTTCCGATGCTCCTTCGGCGGAGCTCTGCCTGGGCCCGTGTCACGGAGGTCACCTCCCACCAGCGGAGGGGGGACCCCGGCCCTTTCTCCCCGGATCACGGAACAGCGTTAACAGGCCTCTCTTCCCTCCCCCAGGGCAGGTCCTGGATGTCCTAGAGGAGCTGGGACTGGCCGACAAGACCCTCGTCTACTTCACCTCGGACCACGGAGCCCACGTGGAGGAGGTGACCGCCAAGGGCCAGAAGCACGGCGGCAGCAACGGCATCTATAAAGGTGAGAGGCGCAAAGTGAGTGGACAAGCAGTGCTGTCCTTCCCCCTGCTCCGCGGCCGCCTTTTCCTTGAGCCCCTGGCGTCCCCGGCACTGGACACTCACCAAGCCAAGGAACAGCCCATCTTCCCACCTGAGAATTAAGGGTTTCGTCGGGCACGGCGGCACAGGTCTGTCAGGTGGTGACTCGGGAGGCTGAGGCAGGAGGATCGCAAGTTGGAGGCCAGCCTCAGCAACTTAGCGAGACCCTCTCTTTAAAGAAAAAAAAAATGATAATAAATTAAAGGGGCTGGGGATGTAGCTCATTGACAAAGCGCCCCTGGGTGGAATCACTAATGTGGGGAGAAGTGACCCAGGATTCTTTGCCTTCATTAGTGGGACTGGTTAATTGAGCTGTGTTCTTAAAATGCATGAAAGCACTGGGCAGAGGCTCCTGCCTCGCATCCCAGCTGCTCAGGAGGCTGAGGCAGGAATCAAAGGCCCTTAGGACCATTCCTCAAAATAAAAATGAAAAGGACCGGGAACGTAGCTCCGTGGTGGAGCATGTACCTAGCGTGCCCAAGGCCCCGGGGCTCCGTGCCCAGTATTGCAGGAGAGAGGGGAGGAGAGGACACAGGAAGAGGATTGGCAAAGGATGTGACAGGAAGGGAATCCTTGCACGCGGCTACAGAGTCACCGCGTGAAGCAGCACGGTCCTGAGTGCCGAAAACAGCGTGGGGATGCCTCCGAAAACGAGAAACAGAACCGGCCTGGGACTCAGCCGCCCCGCTCCTGGTTGCAGATGCACCCAAAGTGCAGGCAGGCGCCCCCCCTACGCCGTGCACAACGGCCAAGCAACGGTGCGCCTGAGTGTGCCTCCGTGGGCGAGCGGGGACAGAGTGCAGAAGGAGCGGCAGCTGCCACGGGAGGTGATGGATCTGGTCTCTCCCCTCTCAGCACCTCTGCAAGGATTCTCTGCCCCAACACCAAGGTCCTTGCCCCGAACCCCTTCTCTTAACTTCTGTGCACATCTGGCATTTGGGGCAAATCTTTGCAAAAGTCAAAGACATAAGGAGATCCTTCCGTTGCCGAGCGTCTTGCAGAAGGCGTGCTCACCTGCAATGCAGTTCTAGGGGCTTTCCTGGTCCCCACGGCGCAGGGTCTCCTGGAATCTCAGAAACAAGTCAGTTGAACCGACTCGGACATCTTTGCCGTCTCTCCCTTATCAAGGTCACCTCCGTCTTCTCCCTTAAGCACAAATTCCAAAAGCAACGGATCGTCGGAGCTGCTTTAAAGAAAAAATAAAATGTCACTGATTTGGGCATCCGTCTGCCTCGCGGAACAACACGACTTTCAGGGAGCGATTTGATATTTTTACGGGGGGAGGAAATTCCATGGCCCCATTCGATGGAGGTGCGTTTGTTGACGGGCTGCGTGGAGCAAGCTGGGCGTGGGCTCGGTTCTCAGGTAGGACCCCAGAGAGCGCAGGGTCCTGGCTGGTCTCCGGGAGGTCAGATCGACGAGCTCTTTGTGCCGATCAGCAACGGTGTGACTGGTTCTTCTGATCGTCCTGCTTACGGGAAGGACACTTGGCTGCAAAACAGCATCCTGGTTTTTTTTATTTTTTAATTGCCAATCAACAAAATCTCTCTCGGTTGTGTCCTTTTCTCTTTGCTTGATGAGTCTCACGTCCTTTGGTTCTTGGTGACCCAAGAGGACGAGGCTCTGCAGGCACACACGCCGCAGCCTGGGTTTGCAGCAGGCAGTGATGTCTAGGTTGGGGTAAGGGCGCTCTGCCCGGTTGGCATCAGGATTGACATGCATTTCTGAGCAGGGGACCCTGCAAAGCGTGTCATGGAGCAACCCAGCCAGCGTAACGTGCCGGTAAGAGAACTCCCGGGGAGGAATGGTAACGCTAACCAAGGCGCGATATAAAAATGTGAAGCCAGGTGTGGTGATCCACGCCTGTCATCCCAGTGACTCGGGAGGCTGAGGCAGGAGGATGGCGAGGTCAAAGCCAGCCTCCGCCAAAGGGAGGCCCTAAGCAACTCTGTGAGATGCTGTCTCTCAATAAAATGCAAAGTAGGGCTGGGGGCGGGGCTCAGTGGCCTAGTGCCACTGAGGTCAATCCCCAATTACCCCCCAAAAGTGAGCCAACCAGGATATGGTTATATTACAGGCTAGAATATATATAACATAGGTATTTTATATAATATCTGCATTAATACTATATGTCACATAATATATATATATAACATTATGTGCAATATAATATACTTATATGGCATATAATGTAGGTGATATATGCATCATATATCACATATAATATATATAAGACATTTACATAGAGAGGCAGATATACAATATAGACAGAAGATATTAAGGAGTTTGATTGGGTAAAAATATACTTCACTAAGTGGCTGTGATGATTCCCTCAGTGTTGAAGAACTGAATGGGTTGGAGCCTAACCCTAAACCAGAATCCCGTGGGCGAATGCAAAGGTGGCAAGAGGTGGCCCAAAGCCGGGGCTTTATAAATAAAGTTTTATTGACACACAGTCCTGCTTATCTACGGAGGTGGCACAAGACCTTTGGCGCCAGCTGCAGAGTTGAGTCACGGGCAAAGCCCCCCCACAAATATAGTTAACGATAGTTGCCATCTGGGTCTCGGGTGGAGACCCACATTCGCAGCCCTGGACTTTTGGACAGTCTGGTGGACAGGTTAGGGACTCCCGCTGAATCGTGGAAGCTACATCAGTTGATTCTACGGGGATTTATCCCTTGAGCAGAGACGTCATCTGGCCCTTCATTTCCCCACCTGGTAAGGGGTGGATCCTGGGTTGGTAGGACCCACAAAATATCGTCATTTCTCCCATCTGCCCTTTTGGGACTAAGGGCTTGGAATCCGTCCATCGCAGAGAGCGTGGCGTCCCCCGCCTTGGAGCAGGACCCAGCTCTCGGGAACGACCAGATCCTCCTCCTTCCACGTGCTTGGCCTCCGGTCAGCGCTATCCCAAGTGGGTAGACACCCAGAGAGCAGGAAAATGGGAAGAAAAAATAAATAGAAATATTTCTCAAATCCCTGTGCCCGGATCAGGCTGGAGAATGGCCAGCATATGCTCATGTAGTGCCGAGTGACGGCGCTGGGAGGGACGGAAATAGCAGCTTCGATTGGAAACAGCTGTCCCCAAGGAGAGCCTGGAGGAAGAGCCTCGTCCACGCTTGCCGGGTGGCCCCAGGACCCCGCCGTCGGCCTTCTGTGGCCGGCACTCACGATGTTGAAACTGGGGACGTGTGACAACCCGCCAACCCCCTGTCCTTGGAGGTGGTGAGCTTCTGCAGGGCACGGACCCCATGCATATATCTTTGTGTCCCCTTTTGGTGACTTTGGGATCACAACAACCTAAGGACGGATCCTTGAAACTCTCTCTGTACCTTCGGTCGCTCGCCGTGTAACTGGGACCAGGTTTTCTCAGATGCTGAGTGGGTTGTGCTCTGGGGAAGAGCGAGCCGTGGGCACGCTCAGCCTGTTTGTTGGGCACGTTTTTTGCATTTTCGTTTCCGCGGCACGTTGCGAGAGGAGAAGGACTGGAGCCTGCCCAGCTGATGACCAACCGTATTTGCCTCTCTTGCCTGGAAATGTGGGATCCCGGCACCCAGCCTGGGGTCCTACGGCAGCGTCCGGGGATGGGCGTATCATCTGTCGCAAAAAAAAAAAAGAAGTTTTAAATACGTATTTTCTTACCGTGGCTGCTATAAAAACACCCCTTTTACAGCCTCAGAGAATTGCAGGAGATTCTACTTATGGATGCATTTGTTAGTTGGTGGCGGTCGGCTATGAACCGTGAGAGGCTCACCACGTGCGTGCGGCGACGTGACTTTGACAGTTGATGAGGGAGCCGTGTCGGATCCTGTGCCACCGTGCACGCGGCGGGCGGCAGGAGGCTGGGTCTGGGGGCTGCAGAGACAGCTGCCTCCCTGTGTCCTGGGCCACCACTGAGGGTGCCCTGTGCCCGTCACCTGCACACCCATAAGCCACTTCTTTGCAGGCAGGCGTGAGGGTTGTGGGCAGATGGCTGTTTGTGGCTTGGAATTTTATTTGGTGTCTCTGGATGGGAGTGAGGGTCCTCGGGTTTCTCCAGGAATTTTCTTTGGTTTGGATTTTGCTTAGACTCATCTCCTGTTACCTGGAAGTCGGGGACATGACCAAGTAACTCTACGGTCGAGACAAGGCGCGTTCTGCACGTCACTACATCTGTCTCCGTCCCAGATTGCCCACGCTTACGAGGCAGAGAGCCAGCTGGCTGTACCTTCAAGGGCCAGGTGTGAGGATTTGATGAGATAAGGTGTGTGCGTCCACCCACGTCACACAGTAGCCGAGCAATTCAAATGGCTCATGGCGATGACCCAGGAAGAGTCCTCACGCAAACCCCCTGAGCTAATTCCTCGGGCCACCCCTGCTTCTCTGGCTGGAAAAATGCTAACGCACTTGCTCGACTTGTGAAATATTTATGTATCAAGTGCCTGTGTGCGTGTCCATACTGAGCCTCCCGCGTTGGAAAGCCAAGGGCTCTTGGGTTGGAAAATCCGGGTAAGAGCATCTCAGTCCATTACCTTGAGGTGATGTTAGAAACACCGGATCAGACATGACACGCGCTGGTGTGGATTGCACGTGAATTTCCCCCCGAACGTCTGTGCACGTAAAACAGCTGAATGCATCTTGCCGGTGAGAGGCTCCCAGTCTTCAGCCGTAGCGAGGCATGATCCTTCTGTCTAGCACCAGCGCACTGCAAGGACGGGACACAAACACGGCACAGCCGTTTGTCCAAGGGCACGGGGCAAAGTCCTCGTTTCCTACACCAGTGTGACAAATTGGGTCACAAATTGGATGGCTCAAAGCCGCTTGTATTTATCGCCGTCTGCTGCCAGAAGTCACAAGCCTTCCTGGGCTAAAAAGAAAAATCACTGAAGTCTTTACGGAGCTGGGTTCCAGCGTGGGTCGGGGAAAGGATTTGCTTTCTCGCCGGTTTGGAAATGCTGCCCACCCACCATTAGCTGGGGGGTGCCCTTCTCTGGGTTCAAAGCCAGGACCCGCGGGCCACCTTGCAGAGCTGATCCTGTCGGGCATAGCGTTGACCTTGTCCTTTATTTCTTCCCACCACCGCGGGCGCCGTCTCAGTCTTGAAGTGCTCTTTGAAGCCACCCACAGAGAGTACTCGTTTGTCCCCAAAGTGACCGAGCACTGGAAAATACACGGACGTGCGTGAGCTTTGAAGAGACTAAACGCTGCTCCCTGTCCCCTCCCTTTTTTGGGGGATTTTTTTTTAGGGGGGAAAGCCAACAACTGGGAAGGAGGTATTCGGGTCCCAGGCATCCTTCGGTGGCCGGGGGTGATCGAGGCCGGTGTGGAGATTGACGAGCCCACGAGCAACATGGACATCTTCCCCACGGTGGCCAAGCTAGCTGGGTCACCTTTGCCCAAAGACAGGTACGTCCGTCCGTTCGAGGGGAGGGGTGTGGGACACTTTGGACACTTCTTGTTGAGTTAATGGGACCTCGACCCTGTGAGGGGCCCACTCCATCAGCGCCATTTCCATCTCTTGGCGATGGTGAGTAGCGCTGGATCAAACGTGGGCGCGGCCTATGGTCCACCCACTTTTAATATTTTTGAGAAAACCCCACACACACTGGTTTCTGTGTTGATTGACGTTGTCACCCAGGGTCACTGGACATTTTTTAGTCCCCTGGGAGGTGACGTAAGATGGTTCATCCAGCCTGCAGATGGATGCTCTCTGCCATTTGTCTGGCTCGCCACTGAGCAGCAGGGCATGTGCCACAGTCGGACCCCACATCTTTCCTCTCCCCCCGACTCAGTGGCGGTTTGCAACACCCAGAAAGGCGGCCAGTCCCCCCCCCCCCTGCAGAGGGTCCCGCTTCCTAGCGAATCTTCGTTTAGCAAGTTCTAAATGGAACGTCGACAACATTGCCCGTGGTCTCCTCCTTCTTAAGAGTCATGTCCAGCCTGAGCGGTTTTAAGGGGAGCGCGCTGGTCGATCGTTTTCATTAGCTGCCATTATTTTCCAAGCTCTGTTCTGGGATGTGCCCGTCCCCGGCGCACACACATCCCCTCCCACCACACCAACCAGAGAGGTGGCCACTGTCCACCTCTAGGTCTCGACTTCTCATATCCATGCATTTACCTGCAAATGCCATCATTTCATTCTTCTTTAAGGCTGAGTAATATTCCATTGTGTGTCTACACCACATTTTCTTATCCACTCACCCACTGGTGGACACCGAGGCTGGTCCTAGAGTTTGGCTGCTGTGGATGGTGCTGCTATAAACCTGGGTGTGCATGGATCACCTTCTAAAGCGGTGGCTACCACCCAGCGGGACTGTCCCCTTGGAGTTCATTTAAAATGCCTGGTGTTATATTTTGGATCTGGAGTGTGCCCCAAAAGCTCATGTGTTAAAGACTTGGTCCCAGCTGCTGGTCCTACTGGTCGGCGGGAGGACACGTTAGAGGAGGTGCCTACTTGGAAGAGCTGGCCCCTGGGAGCATGCCTTTGAACATATATATTTGTCCTTGGAACCTCTGCTCGCTCTCTCTGTCTCTCTCTCTCTCTCTCTCTCTCTCGGTCCTGGCCACCATCAAGCTTTGTCCAACCACACCCTCCCCACCTAGAGGACAAGCCCCCAGCATATAGGGCCAAGCATCTGCAAACGGAAACGTTGGAAATCATGACCAAAGTCACCTTTTCTTCTTACAGTTGTTTCTGTCAGGTATTCTGTCACAGCCACGGAGCGCTGCCTACCACCCGCGGAGGCGTTTTGATAGTTTCTCCACAGGGTACCACCTGCAGCCTCTGGGCTGAGGCCAAGGGCGCTGCTAAGCCTCTCCCAGAACATCAGGCTCAACAGTGACTTGTCTGACCCAGAACGAGACTGGGAAATCCTGCTCTAAAATTTACTCTCGTTCTTTTATGGAAAAGGTAGTCGCTATAGGAAATTCCATCAAAGGTTCTCATTAAAAAGCTTCTAGGTCACATCTTCATCTTTCTCTCTGTCTGTCAATTGGATACTCAAAGACATACCTTTCTCAAAGGAGCCTTAACTCTTTCCCGCCAAGATGGATAGAAATGGGCTTTGTCGATTTCTTTTTTTCTTTTTCTTTTTCTGGGGATTGAACCCAGGGCAGCTTAACCACTGAGCCACATCCCCAGTCCTTTTTCTTTTTTTTATTTTGAGACAGGGTCTCACTAAGCTGCTTAGAGCCTTTTTAAGTTTCTGAGGCTGGCCTCCAACTTGTGATCCTCCTGCCTCAGCCTCCTGAGCTGCTGGGATTTCAGGCATGTGCCACCGGGTTATGAAAATAACTTTCTGGCTACTAGGGATCTGAGTTGGGGTCCATCTGCACTTTCTCGTGAACATATTTCCTGAGTCGTTACTCACCCGGTGGAGAATTATTTTAGTGCTTGCCCAGACGCCCTACTAACACTGTGGTCCACTGAGACCCTCGGGGACCGCCACTCACCAGGACCTTCCAACCCGCAGGTTGCAGGTGGACCCACCCCGTAGGAAGGAGGAAAAGCTTGCGGCGTAGACTCCGTTCCCCTCCTTCACTTATACTAAAATATTTTGCTTTTTAAGTAAGAAAAAGACTTTTAGGACGTGGAGGCTGCGATTCTCAATGCCATCCCACTTACTATTGTTCCTATGAAAATGATTATTTCGGTTACAAATGCCGATCTCAGAAAAGCACTTCCCTCTCCCAAAAATCTTAAATGTCATGTTGAGTCTTGCTGGCGTATGGGGGTTAAAATAAATAAATGAAAAACAGATCCAAGAAGTTAAGGTCGAGCGGGGCACGGCGGTGCACGCCTGTGGTCCCAGCGGCTCAGGAGGCTGAGGCAGGAGGATCGCGAGTTCAAAGCCAGCCTCCGCCAAAGGGAGGCCGTGAGCCACTCAGGGAGACCCTGTCTCTAAATAAAACGCAAAATAGGGCTGGGGACGGGGCTCAGGGGTCGAGTGCCCCTTGGTTCATTCCCAGGTACCAAAAAAAAAAAAAAGAAAGAGGAAGCAGTGAAGAGATTTGTCCAAACGCTGGCGATTCCTCTTGCTCTGGGGAGTCCGGAGACACCTCCCCAAGAGACATGATCCAGACCTGTCGCTTTTCTCCACGGAGGGACTCCCCGTGGGCCATGCTCCTCCCTGCCCACCAAAATAAACCCCAGAAAAGACCCTCAGGGACCAGAGGACCCTTAAATGCCTCCCAAGAAGACAGGGTCGCAGCGTCCTCATCCGACCAGGGAAAGTCCCCAGCTGAGCCCCGCAAAATGGAGCCGCTGACGGTCAACTCAGGACCAGACTGAGGCTTTGGCCCTTTGGTTGAAACCCGTGGCTGATGGTGTCTGTGCCTTGTTTGCCATCGGGAGGGACACGGGACCCCGGAGCCCTCTTTTGTATTTTATTTGCAGACGGGGCCTCACGGAGTTGCTTGGGGCCTCCCTGTTGCTGAGGCTGGCTTGGAACTGCAGTCCTCCGGCCTCGGCCTCCCGGGCGGGCGCCTGGTTTTGCAGGTGGCCCCTGCTGCAATCCTTGATGTCCTTGGTGCTGGTGACGTCCCCCAGACCAGCAGCTCAGCGGGGAAGGACATTCGCCCGAAGGAGACACCCAGGGGATGCGCGCTGCATCCACACACACCTGACCCCGCCCCACCTCCTCCTCCTTCTCCCCCCGCAGGATCATCGATGGCCAAGACCTGATGCCGCTGCTCCAAGGGAAGAGCCGGCGCTCGGGGCACGAGTTCCTCTTCCACTACTGCAACGCCTACCTGAACGCCGTGCGGTGGCACCCGCCCAACAGTGAGTACCGGCCTCCCTGCCTCCTGGAGGCCGCCAGCCTCCAGACCAGGAATGCACTTTACTTGGGCCCCTTTTTCCTTCTTTCCTCTCTTAGCCTCTGGTCACATAGGTGTCCGTCCCACACTGTCCCGTCCCCAGCCCTACTTTGCATTTTATTTAGGGACAGGGTCTCCCTGAGTTGCTTAGGGCCTCCCTTTGGCGGAGGCTGGCTTTGAACTCGCCATCCTCCTGCCTCAGCCTCCCCTGCCTCAGAGGCTGAGGTCCGACTTTCCATTCCCACTGCAAAGGGGAGAGGCAACGGGCATTTTTCTGGGTGCTCTGAAGCTCATCTCTGGGGCTGGACGCTCCTGGGTAATGGGTGGCCCCAGCTGATGGCTGATGCTCCTCCCCGTCCCTCCTCCTGTCCTCCCTCCTCCTGTCCTCCTCCCTGCCTCCCGCCACCAAGCTACTACGCGGGCAGCCTCTGTGGCGGGCTCTCACCGTACCATTGTCTCTCGCTCCACTCCAAAGACTTAACCCGGAGCAGCCCCTTCCTTGTGTTTCTAAAGTGCAAAACGACGCACCTGCCATTTGCCGCAGAAACCACACCAAGTTGGACGCTTGTTTAAAAATCTGCATGGCTTCCTGGTGGCATGTTCTAGAAGGCAGAGACCCCGGACTCGGAATCCTGGGTCCGTGGCACGATTCCGTGCATGATCGTGCAAACGGCAAATGCATGCAGCCAGCCAGCCCCCGCCTAGAGAGACCCGGGAGAGGAACATAGTGGATCAGGGGCTGGGGGACGCCTTATGTGGAGGAGTAGAGAGGACCGAGGGCAGAGACAGGGAGAAGTGAGAAAAGCAAGACCCAGTTTCTGGTGGGCACCTGGCCCTGGGATGAATTTGGCTCCCGAGGCAGGCGCCGCCATCAGCTCCTTTCAGTGCAATTTCTTAAACTCTTGGGTCTTGAGCCAGACGGACACGGTTTTCCCGTGGGGAGTGGGTTCCATTCCAGAGCATTCTGGGCCGCGGCCTGCACCCGTGGTGCTTGGAATAATGGGGCGTGTTGCTTGGGGCCTTGCTAAGCCGCCGAGGCTGGCCTCCAACTTGTGGTCCTCCTGCCTCAGCCTCCCAAAGCCGCTGGGATGACAGGTGTGCGCCTTCAGAACACCTGGCTCCCGCTGTATTTTTAAAGACCCGTGAAAACCGTTATTATAAGATAGATATATTTTCATGCAGTGAAATGGAGATTTTAGAGTCAAGCATTGACGGTCTGATGCCTATTAAAAGTGGTCGCTGTAAATTGTGGCATCTGAATCATCGCAGCTCATGATGGCAGTCGGTGAAGATGATCCTATTTAAGTGGGCGTCCAGAATCAGGTGGACGCATTGCAATTCATGGGACGACGGCTGTAGCATATTCTGGAATCCAGTGCATTATGATACATGATCAATACAGCCACGTGCCGTATACTGGCTTTTTTTTTTCTGGAGGGAGGGTATTGGGGATTGAACTCAGGAGCACTAAACCCCTAGCACTATTTTTGCATTTTATTTTGAGACAGAGTCTCCCTGAGTCGCTTCGGGCCTTACCAGATAGCTGAGGCCGGCTTTGAACTCACCATCCTCCTGCCTCGGCCTCCTGAGCCGCTGGGACGTTGCCTATAAACTATTTGTCTTATTATTTATTTGAAATCCCATGCTTTTATGAGGAAATGGGCAGAAAAAAAAAAGTTTACTTCAAGCCAAGCGCCGTGGCACATGTCTGTCACCCCAGAGGCTCAGGAGGCTGAGGCCGGAGGATGGTGAGTTCAAAGCCAGCCTCCGCCAAAGGGAGGCCGACAGCAGCTCAGGGAGACCCTGTCCCTCAATAAAATGCAAAATAGGGCTGGGGACGGGGCTCAGGGGTCGAGGGCGCCTGAGTTTGACCGAGGGACACGTCCTGACCTTGTCAAAGCCCCTGCAGCGTGGCTCTGCCTCTGTGCCCGGTCGCGGGTGGCTGTCAGCCGCGCTGACCCTGTGTCCTCTCCCCCCCGCCCGCAGGCTCGTCCGTCTGGAAGGCCTTCTACTTCACGCCCAAGTTCCACCCGCAGGGCGCCAACGGCTGCTTCGACACCCACGTGTGCCTCTGCCTGGACGGCCACGTCACCCGCCACCGGCCGCCCCTGCTCTTCGACCTGTCCACGGACCCCGGCGAGACGAGGCCCCTCACCCCGGAGACGGAGCCGCGCTTCCAGGACATCCTGAGGGTCCTGCAGGAGGCCGCCGACCGCCACGCCCAGACCCTGTCCCCGGGCAACACCCTGTGGAAGCCGTGGCTGCAGGTCTGCTGCGCCTCCGCCGCGGGGCTGTCCTGCCAGTGCGACCCGCAGACGCGGGAGCCGGGCGCGGGAAACTAGCCGCCGGCCACAGGGAGGCCCGGGCCACGCTGCCACCGTCGGCAGGAGCCAGGGGTGGACGCCTGTCCCCGTTGGCCAAATGGGTATTGATGACCCCGATTACGTGGAACCCAGGGTGGACGCCACTCGCCGTGTCCACATAGAGAGACGGACGGACAGAAAGACGCAGATGTCCCCTATATTTATGTGCACAGAGATCGACACACGCCCCCCACATATGGCCCACACGCGGAGCACCTTCCCCCACTATTTAAATAAAGACCCATACAAGGGACCCCGTGAACGCGCATCGTCAATCCTTCCGTGACACCAGTCTCCCCGAACCTGGTTTCCAACCCATCGCTGACGGTATCGCATCTGGGTTCCATGGTTTCTTTGGTCAGTGGACCTCGGGGTCCCCAGGGCACTAAGGGAGATACTGCACTTGAGGGGATCCCTTCCAACCGCATTCAGAAGGACCCGCGGGGAAAGTCTGCGTTGCTTTCCGGGGTTGGGGACGATTCCTTTTTCTTTTTTTTTGGAACCAGGGATTGAATTCAGGGCACTCGACCCCTGAGTCCCCCGTCCCCAGCCCTATTTTGCGTTTTATTGAGAGACAGGGTCTCCCTGAGCTGCTGACGGCCTCCCTTTGGCGGAGGCTGGCTTGGAACTCCTGATCCTCCCGCCTCAGCCTCCCGAGCCGCTGGGCTGACAGGTGCGCACCACGGCACCCAGCCCTTGGGGACTTCTTGATGCGTCCACACTGGGGCGGGGGGTATCTTCAGTTGTGGGTGTGGTTTTACCCCGTGGCGGAGACTCTGGTCTCCGAGCCGCCCTCAGATGCACGGTGAACAGTGTCTACTCGAGACCTTCGGTGCAGGTGGGCGTCCAGGAAGGCCCTGGTGATGGGACAATATCCGTAGGATCAAATGCCATCATTTCATTCTTCTTCATGGCCGAGTAATATTCCATTGTGTAGGCATACCACAGTCTCTTTATCCATTCATCGACTGAAGGGCACCTAGGTTGATTCCACGGTTTAGCTCTTGTGAACTGAGCTGCTATAAACACAGATGTGGCTGCGTCCCTGTAGTGTGGGCTGATTTTAAGTCCTTTGAGTATAGACTGAGGAGTGGGACAGGGAGCATAAAGAGGAAGCAGGAAGTAGCCTGGGACACACTGTGTTGGTGGGGTAGAGGCCTCTAGTATGCAAGTGCCAAAAAGCTGAGTCTTTACTAGTACCTTCTTTTTAATCCCCAAAGACTAAAAAATGTGAATATAAAATAGAAAACAGCATCCATGTGTTGGGAGTGACCTGCACCTCTTAAGTCACGGCTGAAATCCAATGTCTCTGCCTCTCGCATGCCCCCTGGGCTGCACTGACCGGTCCTCTGCTTGGCCAACGTGGACTCAGGCTCCAAACCGATGTGTGCTCGTCCTTAAAGAATCCAGTCTCAGCCTGGCACGGTGGTGCATGCCTGTAATTCGAGAGGCTAGGGAGGCTGGGGCAGGAGGATCGCAATTTGGAGGCCAGCCTCAACAACTCAGTGAGACCCAGTCTCAAAATGAAATGTCAAAAGGGCTGAGATGTGGCTCAGTGGTCAAGTAGCCCTGGTTTCAATCCCTGCTAGAGCGAGAGCGAGAGAGAGAGAGAGAGAGAGAGAGAGAGACACCTTCAAACGCGATGCATTTCTTTGCCTCTACTCAATACGTTGAAGTCCTCTGAGTGATTTTCCTCTTTTTCCTTTTGGTTCTGGGCATTTCTGAAGCCGGGAGCTTTATTTAATCGACACTGCGCACCAGCAGAGAGCTGTCACCATTGTCCTGTTACAGTTGACAAACCAGATATGAGAAATAGGGCACATACAGAAGCAAATATTTGCCGTCTTTTACTTATTTTTTAAAAAAATGAGTGGATAGATTCATGACCTTCAAGAAGGACCGTGCATGCTTCCTGCCGCACAACTCTAGGGGGCAGCCTTCACGGAGAGTGCGGTGAAAAGACTGCTCTCTCACTTATGCAGTGCGCAACCTAGGTCACTGTGCCTAGCAGTACTAGTTTGAGGAGCGATGTTGCCTCAACAGGAACAAGCAGAGTCTTCTCCAGGCACCTCCGGTTCCCTGGGATATCCCAGACTCTGGAATATCCCAGGATTCCATCGGACTTGGAAAGATAATTCAGAGTTGGAGGAGAGGGAAATGGGGAGAGCTTTGGACCAGGGCGCAGCAAAGTCAGACGAGCGTTGAGCACAGCTTCAGAAATGCCCAGGTCCCCTAGCCCCCAGTGAGGACGCCCCAGGAAAGCAGATGAGAGTTCACTGGGTAGCGTCTATGCCACCTGGAAACCAAGCAGCCGCTGCTCCCCAGCCCTGTTTTGCGTTTTATTGAGAGACAGGGTCTCCCTGAGCTGCTTACGGCCTCCCTTTGGCGGAGGCTGGCTTTGAACTCACCATCCTCCGGCCTCAGCCTCCCAAGTTGCTGGGATCCTAATCATGTGCCATCACGCCTGGCAAAATAGACATATTCAAAGCCCCGCATTTTAATGTCATTTTAAAACGTCTACAATGTTGAATTCTGTTTAATTATATGTTCAAAATGTTGAGAATTCTTTCAAAGTAAAAAATAAATATGTAGCAAAATGAGTGATGTGTATTTATATTCTGCCTATTAACATTTTGCTGGGATTGATATAGAGTCGTTTAACCACGGAGCCCCGTCCCCAGACCTTTTCATATTTCATTTAGAGACAGGGTCTTGCTGAGTTGCTTAGGGCCTCACTAAGTGGCTGAGGCTGGCCTCCAACTTGCCATCCTCCTGCCTCAGCCTCCGAGTCGCTGCAAATATCAGCGTGCGCTATAGGCACTTTGAATGCCAACGAACCATCTTCTGCCCTTTTATTATCGGAATCAGCCTTTCTTTTAACTCCTATCACAGTTAGGGAATTCTGATGTCTAAAAAAAAAAATTTAAAAAATAAAAACACAATGGCGTCGTGCCTTATTTCCCATGAGAAGGCTTCAAAGGGCAACTTAAAACCACGGTGTAGATTCCTCCAGGCAACCCGACTCGGGATGTTTTCCCAAGGGACCCCGTGCCCCTGGTCTCAGGGTGACGATGGCCCTGTAACCGTGTGCCTTGCAGCGGCTCCGCTGGTTCAGCACCTGATGGATGGCCTGTCCACGGAGCTACTTACGCTCCCGGGCAGAAAGATGGGCCGGAATTCCAGACCTTCACCCGTCACAGTCTAAAAGAGCGCAGGGACCCGGTGTCAGCTCATCGCTTACCGCGGCGTAAAAAATGCACATTTCTCTGCAAAAAGAGAAATAAAAATAGATGGTCTCCGGGCTTGCATGGAACCCGGCTCTCCCATCCGTGTGTGGTCCTCGCTGGTGGCCAAGACTTTAAATAGCGAAAAGCAGGATGCCTCTGTTGAGCACTGACCAAATCTATAGGAAAGACCGCGGTCTGCATTTTTTGTATTAAATCTGATAGTAGCAAAGGTGGCGGGTGCATCATTTTCAACTTCAAGGGACGTGATTTTTCGGTTTCCTGTGGAAACCTCACCCACCCCCCCAAGACCTCCGCCCTGAGCTGCAGAACTGGCCACAGTGTTACTCCGCAGCTTCTTCGGCCACAATGTCTCAACAAGTTGTTTCCTCCTCATTCTTGCGCAGAAATGGAGACTTGCAATGCATGCTCCAAGGTGGACCGCACCAATCGCTGTGCAAATATTCTTCTTTTGAGCATCTCTATTTTTTGCGAAAGTCCAGCAGCCGTGGAGAGATGCATTATTCCGGCATCAGTATTTTTAAGGGGTAAATCGTCACGGTGCTGGATTTAATAACGACCTCGATGGCATGTATCACTGCTGTGTTGTGTCCCAAAACAACGAATCTCCACGTGCAACGGCTCCATGCAGCACCCAAGCTGTGGAACTGCGGCTTGTGGGAAATGGGTGCAATGATTTCTCCGATGTAGGCTGAGCTCAGATGCAGCACCTGTGCCAGGTCCGTGAGCAGCTGGGGGCCCTGGGTTATTGTGGGTCTTCAGGAATATAGGGACAGGCAGGGCCCCTCAATGTGTGGCTTTTGCATTCTGCAGGAAATTGATCCTGGATTCTCCCCGAGGTTGCAACTCACGGGGTTTCAAATTCAGCAGAACCGGATAGTGCCCCCCCACACCCCATGCAAATGTCCAGCAGGTTTCCGCCTGGGTCTGTCACAGATGCAACCGTGCACGGGCTGCGCAGAGACCCGTGGAAATCCTCCTGTCCATAGAATCGATAGCAAAACCACGGAGATGGTAAAGGCAGCACTTCCGCAAATCCAGCAAGGTGTGCCCACACGCACGCACGCACACCCGCTGACGTGAATTCCCGCAAAACCAAAGTGTCCTTAAGCGGGTTTTGAGGAAGAAGCTTCCAGAATCCATCCAGGCTCAGCCTGAAATGGGCTTTGCAGGAATCCGAGTCCTCCAGGGAATGACTTTTTGCCGTTTGCACAACATTTGAGCCAACCCTAATCTAACAACCACACAGTGCAGCCCAGGAAGTGGAATCAGCCACTCCTGCCACACTTGTGCCTACCCCAGGGACAGACAGAATTACACATCAGTCGAACAGGGTTCTACCTCAGCCCTACACCCTGCTCCGACCTGAATCATTACCCCGTCCCCCTCCCCAGCACCCCTCATCCCACACGGTCAACCCTGGGCGTCTCTTCCCCGGAAGTCCGTACCGGGAAACGAGGTTATTCCGACCGCTTTCCTGTATCTATTTCAGGCAAAACTGAGAGCCCAGAACAGGAAGCAGCCATTGTGTTCTGACTTGCGGAGTGGCACAGATTTTTCAATTTTTTATTTTTAAAGGCAACGACTCAAATGCACCTGGCAAAATGGAGGAGGGTTTCAGAAACAGGGGTTCTGGAAAGTTCCATCCAAAGACGTCAAGTTGGTAGGGATTTTGCAAGCCCTGTTCACGCTACTCTGAGGACCTCGGGCCTGACCTCTGAACCGCAGTCTGGAAATCAGGAGAAGAAATAGGAGAATATTAATCTGTGGCTCCCGGTGGTCCCCTGGGCTACGAGAGTCCTTGGAGATGTTGAGGCCGTCGCAGGAGACAGCAAAAATCAGAGAGACTATGTACGTTGTGCTACTGTAACAAAATACCTAAGGCAATCAGCTTATCAAGACAAAAGGTGTGAGTGTGTCTGAATGTGGGTGTGTGGGTTTGAGTGTGTGTGAATGTGTGTGAGTGTGAGTGTGCATGGATGTGTGTGTGAGTGTGGGAATGTGTG